TATCCATCTACCTGTAGCCATACTATCGACTTGTGTGTATCAATATGCACTTTTGTCCCTCTCCCTATATTCATATATATATATATATACATACATACATACATACATACACATGTATATGTGTGATATGCACATACGTTCGTATATGCATAACTACGTCTATACATATATACCTGTGTACAGATGTTCATGTATACACATCCTGCATACCTGCAGATCAACATATCTACATATACCGATACATGTATACTCTTACATACATATGTACAAATATATATATATACATATATATATATGTATATATATATAGGAGGGCTCAGAACATGTCCGTCAGGAGGACGATTGCTGTCAGCCCCAGTGCCTGATTTCAAGGCACGTCAGCCAGCCATAGCTCCTCGGCCTCTGTCGAGGCACCCACCTTCGCCTACCTGGCACAGACGGTGGAGGAGAGTCCGGTCCAAGACGAGACGCAGTCTTAAATCTGGACGGCCTGTATCCGGCCGCAACCTGAGAGCCCTCCTAGGACACCATTCTTTCAAGAACAGCTGGGGAATGGGACGAGGAGGCAAGCAGCAAGGATGGCAGGAAGAGTGGCAATCGCCTACTCCTGCACAATTGTGGCGTGGTGCTTGGCCGCGACGATCGGAACAGCCCAGACAGCCACAGTTCCCGCACTACGACTCCAGCTACTATGGGACCCAGGAGCATACCAAGGGCAAGGGCAAGTACAAGCACAGCTGGATGGAAGAAGAGGATGGAGACTCCCTTGTGCCGGGGATGCAAGACCTCCTGAATCATACCAGGCGGGCGGAGCAGAAAGTGCGGACACTGACAAGACAGCGAGAAGACAAAGCTGCCAAGTGGCAGAAATACTTGGCGGACATGAAGAAGGCATACGTCCTGGAAAAGAACCGGCATATGAAAGACATCGCGAGGCTGTCGGAGGAGCTGGAGTTGGCTCTGGTAGCCCAGGACGAGGCACGTGGACAGATTCGAGCATTGGCTTATGCTGCAGCGACTGGGGATGTGCCCATGCCACAGCCAACTTCGATGCAGACAGACGAAGAATGGGACAGCATGGTGGAAGCCTGGAAGGCAGAACAGGTGGATGGTCCCAAGGATATCCTACGACGGGCCATGGAAGCAGGGAAATCGAGTGGAAATGTTGCAAGAAAGGAGTCGGACCAGAGAGTTCCGGCACCAGCCAAGGCAGCTACATACTCTTCCCAGCTGGCAAAGCCACCTCCAGGGCTGGAGTCCGCGACGGGACAGCCTGTGAAGACTGGCCCTTATGTCGGTTCTCCTGTGCCGGCAAGCACTATGATGGCATCGCCGAGCCCACCATCGAGCAGGGCCAAGAGACACCTCGACGATGCAGGCAATCCTCTGCCCAAGCATCGAGCTGGACCGTACTCACCTGCTGCAACAAAAGGCCCAGTGGAAAAGGCATTATTGGCCAAGCGGCAAGCAGAGCTCGAGGCGGTTGCGAATGTGCAGGCGAAGGCCGAGCCGAATCCAACGGAACCGACACCTCTCCAGGTCATCAACGACGACGACGACGAGGATCTGCAAGAAGCTTTGACTGCAATGGAGTAAGGCCTACAGGCAGGGGGCACTGCTGTGCAGTGACCTTGCCTTCGATGCGGAGCTTCTATGGCAGTATGAGAGGGGGGGAAGAAACTGCCATTGCCCGGCTGAGCCGCCTGGAATCCCCCGGACACTCAGATTCGACCTTGGGGCTGTTGAATCTAGTGTCCCAGTCGGATATCGGGCAGGTCTCGCTGTGCGGCTATTGTGGCAGTTTCATCTTCCCAAGTGAGAACATTGGTGTACAGCCTTCTGTACAGGATTGGTGTACACTACATAGTGAGAGGCACTTTTTGTACACCCTAGGGAATTTTCATGTGTCTCGGCATGGCCAGTTTTGCGTAGGCTCCATGCTTCAGATTTCCCGGCAGCACACTAGATTTGTCAGCCGTCTGCACATCAGCTGTCATACACATAATTGTCAAGACACCTGCCTCTCTCGTGAGCAGTGTCTAGATTACCAAGGCCGCGCCATATTTAAAGGCTGCGAGCAGGAACCTTGTTTTTCCTCGAGAGGGTGCCAAAGACGCACATCGGTGGCTCAGGGGCGCGCACCTCTCGGAGGAATTGATATTCAGAAGCCAGCCTGTGCAGTTTTGCTTGCTGCGCACGACATGCTCCTTGCATTTTACGGCCTCCTTGTCTCGTCCGGAGGCTTCCTTTTGCCCTTGTTTAGAGGCTTGTTTGCCATCCTATGCCTATCTCTCGTGTCAGTCTTGGCAAGGGCCATCCCGAGCAGGTCTTCGCCCGCCTTTCGCCTGCTCTCCTTTCCCCTCCGTGGAGTGCCTCGCAATGTTGTGCTGCCTCTTGGGTGCTTAGGGTGCACGAAGGCAGTGCTGAACTGGAAGCCCTGGCACGATAGAAAGGGCCGAAGCAGTAAAAGAGATAGAAAAAGCAAAGATGGACATGCTCCAACAGTGCCTTATTGTTTCTTCAGATATATTTTCCTGCTGAGGTTTCTGAGCATTCTTTCTGGAGGGCCTGCAGGGGCGCATGCTGTGCCAACTCCTCTCCGAGAAATTGCTGCAATATTTCCAGCAGGAGGTGACAATGGCCTCGAAAGCATTTCTCTCTGGCCTGATGAACTCGCTGGGGAAGAGATCGGTTGTGATGAACTGCCGACAAGTGGGCAAGGTACAGAATGCAAGGACAGCGCCGTTGAACAGCAATTTGGTGAACGAATCAGTGTTAGGATTCTCATTGCTGATCATAGCACCGACCATGTTGTTGTAACGCAAGAAGGTTCCCGTTTAGGAGCTGACTTCCTTCATAAAGCATACCAGGCATGGGGCACCAGGCCCTACTGTGGGGCCCTCAAGTTTGTCGATCCTCAGGCCAGCGATGCTTATGTCTCTGTGCTTCAAGTTCCCACCTGGTCCCGCTTCTCGGACAAGGTAGTTCTCGTTTTCGACCTCTCGCATATTGGAGGTCCTTACTATGCTGAAATAAGATGGGGTAGAGTTGAATATCGAGACCTTGCCGAGATTGCCGAATCAGTAGCTGCAGGTCCCTGGGAGGTCTTCTTTCTTGGAGACGAGAAACCCGTCAGACCAGGCAGTCTCACTTATGCTTTCTCTGGTGCGGTTTTCAAGTTCATGCCATACGGGGTTGCGCCCTCATGGGGGCCACGAGCCGCCGCCCTTCAACAGCGAGAGCACAGGTGGGAGGAGGACCCTAACTTGCCGGAAGCCGAACTGTCATCCCAAAAATGCTTAGTCATTGCCAGAGGCACCTCGAAGCTATTCTTGCAAGAATCACGCGCTGGGCTCGAAGAACAGGTTGCCACCGCTCTTTACACAAGGGCAGAGCTTCTTTCCTTTGGATGGCCGACATCTGGAAGTAGTTTGCACAACTTCACCCATCATGGATACAAGATCAACGGTGTTGTTGCGACCCATGACCGCTCCCCAGATGTGCGCCCTGGAATCAAACTCGGGTCCTTTGTTTTTCTTGATCCCAGGCAAGTCGGAATGGAACCTACTGCCTTGTTTCTTGCAGATGGGTGGCATGATGTTTGGCCCATCTTGAACTTCCTTGCAATAAGGCCGCCCGCAGGTTTTGAGCTTGAGATAGAAGGTCCCCCTACTCGGAAAGATCAGGTTCTCATTTATGATGGTTGTACCATAACTGTCAGGATTGAACCAGCAGTGTCTGCCCTTGAGGAGATCAACAGGTCAGATGCCGACCGGGGCACTATAGGACCCACTGTCGAACACACGACACCTCAGCCTGTAACCTGCCGAGGACCTGGTGAGAGCTCTCCCACCACCAGGACCCCCCAATATGTGCTTGAGCATGCTCTGAATCGGGCTCTTCATGCTCCGATACAAGGGCGACCCGACCCCGTCGAACCAGTTAGGCCGCAGTTCCTCAGGGATAGGCCCGACGACCCACCGCCCACTGAGTTCATTAATGCTGGGTTCCTTGTGCTTACTCCGAGATACAAAGCTGAGGTAATACAAATTGTACTCGGAGCTCCTTGCACCATAGAAGCCGCTTTGAACGAGGTTAGCGATGCGCGGGCTGAGCATGACGCCATTGAGAGGGACACGTTAATCCTGCCAGCACTTCAACCTGATAGGGGATTCGCGGTTGTGCTAGCTATGCCGGAATGGGCCAGCAATGTTATTTGTGTGCTTGTTGACTCTAGATTTTATGATGGTAGATTCTTCGCGTGTGTTGTTACTGATGGTCTTAACAGGGAATCGTTACTCCATCACATCGGCCTTCCTGGCAAGCGTGATCTTACCATCTATGTTGATGGTCAGAGATGTACTGTAGACCAGCGCCACGCTTTCTACAACGGCGCTGTCATATCGGTTGTGTCCCCTGGCAGACGGGTACCGTCAATGCATCGGCTCGAGGACATGCTCCACAGCCCCAGACACTGGACTAGACCATGTCCAAACTTTCCTGGACCGATAGACTCTGCCTTCCTTATTCTCACCGACGCTTGGCATCTTGTGCTAGAGGTTCAGAGTGAGCAACCCTCCTCGCCTGAGCATTTCAAGGCCATCCTTGCCCAGCGCCTCAGGTACGATGTTGATAAGACTACTCAATGTCCGGCAGTCCAATTGATTGACAACATTGCCCTTGAGGGGCAGAACTGCCGCACTGCAGTTGTCGCAACTGAAGCAATATCAAGGTTGCCTATCCCTCCAGCAAAGTGGCAACCACAACAGTTCATAGTCTTTTTAGATCGTAGACCGATCTTGCTTGACTTTACTTGGACCCTAGCAGTTGCTGGTGTAATAAGCATTGACAAAATCATTGCTGAGTATTCGCCACAGGCTCCGGAAGGTTTCTCCGTTATCGTCAAGGACGGTCGCAATCAGATAGCTCATACTAGTCATGCCATCCAAATCGAGCATGGAGGAGTTTTAATTCTTGAATACCTTGCCACTCAGGGTGAAGGCTCACAAGGCTCCGATGAGGGATCGAACCATTCTGATGGTGATGAAGATCATGAGGATAGTGATGGTTCCGACACCTTTGGGGACCCCAGCCTCTCTGGAGGCACTGAAGAGGGAGGATCTGATGCTGCCAGGAGAGACCGCGATAGGAGCCGAAGCCGGTCCCCGAGGCCCGGAGCAGTTTTTCGGTCTGATAGTCACACAAATGTCTCAGACAATGATTCCGCGCCCTTATATGCTCTCGACAGCACAGGCCCAGACCTTTTAAAGGTCTTCAGTAATTGCTGGCTTGACGAGGTAAGTCGACCTCCCCCAGTCATTTTCCAAGAGCTTGGTCGCTTTGCACGACGGGATGACATATCTGGAGCAGCAGAGGCCAAGCTGCTCTCTGAACCTGCGCCTCACAACAGCGAGGGTCGACGGCAGTTACGAAATGTCCGGACTGCGACTCTGAGACTTGGTGAAGACTGGCCTTACATACCAGACGGAGAGCCTCCTCGGGTTCCCTTGAGCGGCGATCCATATTATGCTGCAACAGCTGCTCAAGTTGGCCCCAGCCAGCTCACTGTCGCGATTCTGAAACCTGATCATGTAGCTGAGGTTGTCCGGGTTTGGTTACCGCACCCTGTCGATCTCCCGCAAGCGTTTGCTGCCGTGCAAGCTGTCAGAGATCCTGCCCAGGTCGCTCTGTATGAAAGGGTTGTGTCGGTTTGGCCGCAGCCGAGCCATCAATGGGCAACAATCATTGCCCTTCCGGCATGGGCAACTGATGAAGTAGTGATTTGTTTTGACCTAAGTGAGTACGATGGTAGACTCTTTGCCAGTCAAGCCCCCGCTGTGCTTGATCGCTTCACCATTTTGCAACTTGCCGGGCTATGGGGCCAGGCTGTAGACATCTACACGCCCTTCCAGCCGCACCCACTTAGGAGCGATCAGGACACCATTGTTACGCAAGGGACCTGCATTTCCATTGTACGGCAAGGAGAACAGCCTACGCCCATCCTAGACCTAGAGGTTCTCCTTCTCAGTCCCCTGCACTGGAGGGAGAGCGGGCCTGGGACAGTTGACTCGCAAGGGAATTGCTACTGTGCCGCGACTGAAACAGGCCACCGGCTTTTTCGCATCTCACCCGAGCGCTCGCGCTTTTACAGAGAAGACCTTGCTTTCTTCCTCCCATGTCCCCTTGATAGCCTGGTTTTAGAGCCTTCTAGGCCCCGGGTTGAAGATGCTGCCGTTAAGGGGTGGCCCTGTAGGACAGTGTTAGCAGTTGCCAGTCGTGCAGGGGGGCCAGCACAAGCGCCCGCCCACCTTGTACTTGTAGTCTTCCCACCCTCCAAGGATGGTACATCACGTGGGCCGTTCAAGGCAGAGTCAGCCATAGGGAACTCATTGAGGACCTTGCAGCCTTTGCGCCACCTGGTTTTGAGGTTGTCATTCTAGGTGCTCCAATTCAGGATGAGTGGTTTCATCTAGAGCCTGGGGAGTGGCTCATTGCCACATACGAACCAATAGGGCCACAGCAGCCCCATTGCGCTGACACTGTGAAAAGGGGGGGACCTCGATCTGCCCCAAATTGGAATGCAGACGAAACTCCTGTTGAGGATGGTGAATGTTCTACAAGGCAGATGACTTATCCAGCCAGCTCCGAGGACATTACACAAGCCTCCTGTCGACGCACAAGGAGACGTGCCGATGAAATGTGGCTTCCCAAGCGGAAAAGAGTTGCCGATCATGCTGGCACTTGGGAACTCACCCCTTTCCTGCACGGTTTTTGCCTTTTGTGTACATCAGGATTTGTGCTCAGCACACTTCCGCAGAGGTCGCGTCACGGTCGCAGATCTTGGGCTGATCGTGTTCTCTTCCTCGTTGCCAGCCTTGCGCTAACTATAACAGGAGGACATCAACCCTCCAGTGGCAGCAGCGTCAGGCTCCTCCTAGGTGCCGTCTCTGTTCAGCTTCCGCTTGCTGAGTCTGTGATCCGTGCTGATCACACCCTAGAAGGATATAATCGGAAAGGTTGTGCTGACCATGATGCCTCAGCTGATCATTGGTGGGAAGAAGCTTCGGGGGCAGCAGAGCGCCGACTGCTCCACCGGAGTAGGCCGCTTCCAACGCCATGCCGAAGACTTGTCACACTACCTCCCAATGCAGGGAGTCAGGGGACAGGGAGCCAACAAGATGCACCCTTTCCTCATATTGGTGAACTTTGCACCCTCCTCGAGGACAGCCTCCGTCACCCACAAAACCAGGCTTTTTTCCTTGCCTGCACACCGCTGGAAGTCCTGCAAGAGAGATATCAGGACAGTTCTCAAAGTCGACCAGCGCCGACCAAAAAACTCATTGCTCTTGCTGAGCTTCTGCCGACTCATGTATGCCATTCCCTTGATGATCCACAGATTTGTGTTGGAAAGTCAATTGATGAGGTAAAGCCCCTCCTCTGGACGCCTTGGATTTTAAATTCAGAGCTGCCTGCCCAGGTCCAGTACCACCCGACGACGCGCCAGGCCCTCCAACAGCACATCAGACCAAGTGACGATCAGGTCGCCCCTGTTCAGACTGATGTGTATACCGATGGGTCTTATAATGGTCGGGTCAGTGCCTGGGCCTTCTGTGTGATCGAGCACTGGCCGAATGGAAGTGCCCTGAGGGGTTGGTGCCGGGGAAGTGTCAGCTTACCTGGCACTGCAAGGTTCATAGGTGCTGCAGATCATTCTGCCATCGAGGCTGAGAGGAGTGCCCTTTTTTGGGCTGTTGCATGGGTTCTGTCTTCTGGCCACGGTCCAATCACAATTTGGACTGACTCCCTAGTTGCGTCCGGGCAGACTGCTGGTACGTGGAGCAGAGATGAATCATCTGTAATAGCGGGGGCATGCAGAGCCATAGCACAAGCTGCTGAGACCGTAAAAGATCTTCGGTACCACGCCTTTTCACATGTCAGGGCCCATAAGGGAGATCCTTATAATGAGCTTGTTGATGTCCTTGCAAAAGGTCATAGCCTCGGGGAGTCATGGATCCCAGAGGAGATTGAGCAACTGACCGCTTGGGTCAAAGATGGGTCTATAGCGTGGCTGTGGCTACTTTGCGATGCTATCAAGCATCCCACTGTCTGGCCCTCCTTACAGGGCACAAGTCTAGTAGACCGTGCAAAAAGAGACCACATGCCGAATCCAGATGTTGCCTTCCTCTGTTTAGGCCCTACAGGAACCGTCGCTGGACAAGCTAGCCGTTCTAATACCCTCCAGCTGTGTCTGAAGCTCGTCACCATTAATGTGCAGACTCTTGCCGAGGACGCTGACAAGGGCATAGTCGGCAGAGTGCCATATGTCAGGACTCAGCTTGAAGAAGCTGGCATCTGCATTACCGGGCTCCAGGAGACACGAGCCAAGGCGACTGAGAGTATCAGATCTGAGACCCACTATAGATACACTGCTGCTGCCGACAGTAAGGGATGTTTTGGGGTTGAACTATGGATATCTAAGAATATCCCTTTCGGCTTCCAGGCCGGCAAGCCTCTATACTTTACTGCAGCAGATTTCAGAGTCCTTCGTTGGACCCCGCGCAGCCTCATAGCCAAATGTGCCAGGAGCTCCTTTTCATTCATAGTCGCTGTGTGCCATGCTCCTTCGTCAAAGGATCCCTCCAGAAATGCGTGGTGGAAAGAGTTCTCTCGTGAGCTTAAAACCGTCTCCGGTGCTCTCCCAGTCGTACTTCTTGGAGACTTGAACACCAGGCTCACAACACCGTGGCAGAACAGGATCGGGGATCTGTGCTGGGAAAGTGGACAAGATCCGCCAAATTCCCTATTTGACATCTTCCTGACGCATGATCTGTGGGCGCCTGCCACCTTTGGAGCTTGCCACACAGGGTTGTCTCATACGTGGTCCTCGCCCGGACACGCGCAACTGTCCAGAATAGATTTTATCCTCATACCGAGAACATGGCAAGTAAGTGACGAAGGCTCACGTGTTCTCTATGAGGTTGATTTTGCTCAGACTGGAGTTGATCACTACGCAGTCTCCCTCACTGTCAATGCCAGTCTCTTGCATAACGCTGGACGAGCACGCGGCAGGCCGAGGATAGACGCTGCCAAACTCGGACAGGCTTCCTCGCAAGAAGTTGTTCATGCCATTTGTGCTACCTTACCCACAATAGGATGGGAGGTCGATGCGCACACCCACTATCATGCCTTTGCCGGCCACCTTGCACAGAACCTTGCAATTGCATTTCCTTCCCAACATGGCAGGCGCAGAAGGCCCTTTATCTCCGAAGAAACTTGGGACCTCCGTCAGAGGAGGGTGTGTTTGCGCAAGGCTGTGCACGAGACTTCTGTGTGGGTTGCCAAGCTTGAGCTTGTAGTTGCTATCCGGGCGTGGATAAGGGGGTATAGCTATAGCTGTGCCTTTATGCTGTCCCTTGCCGAGATCCTCAGGGTTACTAAGGCTCTTTGCACAAAGATTACTGAGCTTAGAGGCCTTAAAGCGCACCTCCGACGGTCTCTTCTGACAGATAGGCGTACCTACTTGAGGGGGGTTGCCCAAGAGGCTGCTCGCTCTACTGTCAAGTCTACTGTCGACAAGTTAAGACCCATTATAGGTCCTCCCAAACGCAAGCAACGTGGAACTCAGGCTATCCCTGCCATACGTTTAGAGGATGGCAGTATAGCCAATAGCACAGAGGAAGCAGAAGCCCGCTGGATCAGGCATTTCAGTGCGATTGAAGCAGGGGAACCTTGCCCTCCAGCTGAAATAGTTTCTGAGTGCCTCGCCAGACAGGCTGAGGCAAAAGAAGAGGCCCTCCAGATCGAGGCCTCTGACCTCTTAACCCGGTCACAGATCGAGTCTAGCCTGCGTGCCTCTCCATGCGGAAAGGCTGTAGGTCGAGACAACGTGCCTGCTGACTTACTGCACCACTATCCAGCTGGGCTCTCTCGTCATCTGTATCAGATATTCCTCAAGTTCGCCATGCGCTTAGAGGAACCTGTACACTGGAAAGGTGGAGAATTACACTCGATATGGAAGCATAAAGGCTCAATGTTGGACTGCGGAAATCACCGCGCCATTTTGGTAAGCAGTGCCACCGGTAAAGCAATACACGGGGCACTGAGACAGCAATGCAGCCCGTATCTAGACTCCTCAGCCACACCGCTGCAAATAGGGGGCCGTAGAGGGTACCCTGTCCAGCTTGCTTTGCAAGCAGCTAGAGCATGGCAGAGCCTTTGTCGGCAGCAAGCCACCAACTATGCTCTCCTCTTCGTAGACTTAAAAGATGCGTTTCACAGGGTAGCGCGGGCTTTAGTCCACGGAGGTCAGCCTGATGCCCTGACGGTTGCTAATACCATTGCTGTGCTGGGCCTGTCAAGCGAGGTTGCTCCGCGTCTTCAGGCGTATGTCAAGCAAAGATCACTCATCAGCCAAGCAGGAGCTCCTGAAAGCTTAGCAGCTATGATCGCAGAAACGAACCAGTCCACTTGGTTCTCGTACGGATCCTTGCAAGGAACCGCGACAGTGCGTGCCGGGACGCGTCCCGGGGACAATTTGGCGGACATGGTGTTTTCCTTTTTGTTCTCTGAGTTGCTGCACAAACTCCGTGACAGGTTCAAGAAAGCGAACCTGTCTGTCGCGCTGCCCTGGGACCCAAGCTGGCTGTGCGCCAGCCCTGAAAGTGTTGAGCAGCGAAGCGCCTCCTGTGCTGAAAGACCAATCGACATAACGTGGATGGACGACTTGGCACTTCTCGTGCAAGGAGACACCCCCGAACAATTGGTAGGAAAAGTACGCGCAGTTGCCACCGCAACTATCGAAGAGTGTATAAGCGCCACATTGGTGCCAAATTTGGGCGCTGGCAAGACTGAACGCATTGTGAGCCTAGTTGGCAGGGGGGCAAAACGGGTTGGCCTTGACATCTTCCAGGGAGCAGAGCCGACGCTCCCCCTTGCATCTGACTTGTGGCCCAACGCGCGTTTACGTCTAGTACCCAATTATAAACATGTTGGAGGGATCTTGCAAGCCACTGGTGGGGTCAGTAGAGAGGTTAGGGCTCGCATAGGATCTGCTTGGCAGGCCTTCCGCAAGCATCGACGGCAGGTGTTTTCCTCGCCGATAGTCAGCTATCGTGATAAGGCCATCTTGTACGATTCTTTGGTGCTTTCGACCATGTTTTATGGTGTCGGAGCCTGGCCCGATCCAGACCAGGATGTGCTTGACAAGTTTCAGTCTGCCCTCGTCAGTATGTGCAGGCAGATGCTCCGGCCCAGGTTCTCCCTCCAGGCTGCCAGACATGTAGGAGCCAATTATGCGCTGTCCATCGTTGGCATTTTGCCTGCTGCAGACCAGGTTCACCTGGAAAGACTTAGACATTTCAAGGCTGTAGTCACCAAGGCCTGCCCGGAGCTATGGGCCTTGCTCCATGCTGAGGTCAAGTGGCTAAGACATGTTCAGTCCTCACTTGCTTGGGCCTCCTACAACTTAGATCTCTCAGGCTGGAAGGGAGTTGACCTCAATGATTGGGATCAGGTTGTCGCCTTCATAAGAGAGGGTCCTCATAAATGGAAGGGGATTGTTAAGAAGATCAACAAGATTGTTGGTCTCGTCCGATGCTGGGAGGCTGAGGTGCAACAGTACCATGGCCTGCTGTTTCGATCTCTGCGTACAGCCGGTGCTTTGCTCCAAGACGGGGTAGACAGCCGGGATTGCCCAAAAGAGGTCTGCGCACAGTGTGGCCAAGCTTTCCCAGACGCCAGATCCTGGTCGCACCATGCCTTCAAAGTGCATGGAAGAGTTCGTGAAGAACGAACGCTTGTCAATGGACAGCAGTGCCCAATCTGTTTGCGGCACTACCAGACGAACGAAAAACTGTGCAATCATGTGCGGCATTCGATCGCCTGTAAGACTGCATTGCTCCAACAGGGTGCTCATGCTGAGCCTGTACCAGGCATAGGAAGCCGAGCCTTTCAGGCCGCCTGCTGCCCACAGCTGCCCGCAACACAGGCTGCAGGTCCTAAGAAACCTTGGGCTGATAGCCGAGTTGTTTTTGAGGCTGATCGACCGGTTGAGCCCATACTTACTAGGCTAGAGTCCTGTTTCTGTGACGATTTGCACAAGCTAGCCTCCTATGATGATGTTTTAGCTAGCTACAGGGAGGCTTTCTTGCCCCACTGCATTCAGGTCTCAAGGATGCGTGCAACTGCCAGGGCGTGGCATGACAGTCTTCATGCGACTCTGCAAGAAGACGAAGAATGGCCGCTGTTTTGGGTCGGTTGGCATATTAGGGCTGCACAGTTGCTCTTGCAGATTTCCTGGGTTGAATGGCTTGTGCCCGATCCCATCGTCCCGCAGGCTGATGTTTCTACCTTCAGGGATTCTGCCACCTTGCTGCCGTGGCTGAATTGTGAAGAAATCAGCTTGCCTACTGTTGCAAGTCCCTCTGGATTTGGCAAAGTTTTTGCCGACAGGGATGTAGGAGCAGGAGAGTTCATCTCGCACCACACTGCTGCCCATCACCCGGAGCAATTTGCTCTAGAGGAATGGAGTTCTGTGACTGATGTCACCACTGTCTTCTCGTGTGTTGGACTTCTTGGCACCCTGGACTTGCCTCATCCACTAAGGTCAAGCCGAGACATTGAGTCTCCTTTAGTTCAACTAAGGCTCCTTTCCGATTTTGCCAGAGGTGCCTTCTGGCTCTGGCGTAGAGGAGTGCCTTGCATTTTGATTGTTGCGGAGATCCAGTGCCCGGGCATACAGGCCCTTCGTACTGTAGCTCCTCATGCTGTCACCGATAAAGGTTTGACGGCTCTAGGCAACGTCGAGTGCAGGGACATTCTTCTTTGTTTCCACCCTTAATTATTGCATGCCAAAGGCTGCGCCCGACTCGGACACCATGCCTTGAAAGTCGAAAGTCGATATATATATAGGTGTACGCATACACATTTAGACGGGCTTGTGCATGTACACAGACTTGTTAGTAGTACACGCCAACTAGCGGTGTATGGTGCGACGCACTAGCAGAGAGATGTATATACACTTACATACCCACACACTTCGACATGAGATAGACCGAGGCATAGACTTGGACATAGACATGTGCATAGATAGGTATATGAGCGCATATACTATGCGTGGTTCGATCGAATACAGGAGTCGTACTGATGCTTGCTGTAGCTTCTGATAAAAAACCGGCACGAAAGAATAAGAGCCACCACGGGACATTGATAAATACCCTCCGCCCTGAACCCGAGACTGCTCCAAAAAGCCCCTAAAAACCCTAAACCCTAAGCCCTAAGCCCTAAAACCCTAACCCTTACACCTGAAGCCCGACCTCTTAACTCCGAGATCCCAACTCACGACTGGAGCCCTAGCAGAGGCGTGCGAACGGCGCCTCCCCGGGCTCGCGGCGTTGCGCGGGGGGCCTGGGAAGAGGCTTGGGGCTTTATGGCTTAGCAGAGGGGCCTTCAAAATTGGAATAGGGTTTTTGGGAGATATATAGAGGGACTTTTGAAAGCAGCCTTTACAATCATCCAAGCCCCGATGTTAGGGCTCAAAGGCTGAGGGGCCTTGGGGGTTAAAGGGCTCAGGGTTTCGGGGTCTAGGAGCTTGTGCAGTTTGGGCAGAAAGCCCCTGAATCCGGAAACCCCGAGTCCCACGAAACGCCTTTTTTGGCGTAGGGTTTAGGGATTAAAAGGTTTAGGGTTTAGGGATTAAAGGTTTAGGGTTTAGGGTTTAGGGATTAAAGGTTTAGGGTTTAGGGTTTAGGGTTCAGCGCTACACCCTAGCCCCCCTTTCAGGTTTGGGACAGCTACCATGTTCTTAGAGCTTAAATCCTCGCCGGAATTTTAGGGGGCTGCGCCCACGGGTGGGCAGCGCAGCAGCCCGGAGCAAGGTCACGCATCCCCCCGCTGATAAACCCTAAACTTTAAACCCTAAACCCTCATCCCCTAAACCCTAGACCCTAAGCCCTAAACCCAAAACCCTAAACCCTAAACCTTAAACCCTAAACTTTAAAGCCTAAGCCCTCATCCTTTCAAGAAGCCCAAAGAAGGCCATGCCAGCAGCTCTGGGGCTCGTTGCGGCCGCTGCCTTCGCGGTGGGTCGCCGCGGGCCAAGCGAGGAGGCGGACTTTTTTAGGGGCGCTTTGAGGCTTGAGGGCCGTTTAGGATTTCGGGTTGGGTTTGGGGTTTAGGGTGTAGGGTTTAGGGTTTTAGGGGTCCTCTAAGCGAGTTTATTTATGTATTTATTTGGGTTCCGTTAAGAGGTTTGCTTGGGGTTGGGGGGTTTAGGGTTGAGGGTTTAGGGCCTAGGGTTTAGGTTTTATAGGTTTCAATAGTTTTTTCTTTTTAACGGGCTTTTCAGGGTTGAGCTTCTAGGTTTTAGGGGTGAGGCTTTGAGATTTAGGGTGGATGTGAGGCCCCGAACATCCCGCGCAGAGGACTACGAAATCGGGGCCTTCAGTAGCTAATATGGAGGCCTTAATCATTGCCTAGACTTTTTTTTGGGGGCCCCTTTTATAGTTATAGTAGAATATACCCCAAAACCCTATTCTAATCCTTACGGCCCTATATTCGGTGTTTAGGGTTTTGGGTCGAGGCCCGGCCCAAGGCCCGAAACCCTAAGCCCTGAAGCAATTAGCCCGAAACTCTAAAGTTTAGGGTTTAGGATTTAGGGGTTTAGGGGTTTAGGGGTTTAGGGGTTTAGGGTTTAGGGTTTAGGGTGTAGGGTTTTAACCCGAAGCCCTAAACTCGAAAACCCTAAGCCCTACAGCGCTAAACCCTGAACCCTTCTCCGCTGACTCTCAGGATAAGTTCGAGGAGAAGCGACTTGCCAGGCTGGGGGGTGGCTACTCGGAGGTTCATGCGTGGCTTTAAGTAGTTTAGGGTTTAGTTCTTCGGAATTCGCGTTTAAGGGTTTAGGGTTAGTACTTGGAGGTTCATGGGCCGTTTCAAGCAGGGTTGTAAGCAGAACAACTATAGTTTTTTGTGACCGACCCATATAAAGTGGACGTATAACCCCACTTACAACTACCCACGAACCTCCAAGTAGGCCCAGCTAACTCTTAAAGGAACCCCCCCCAATAAGGAACCCCCAAGCACCCTAAACCCTAAGCCCTTTTTAAGGGTTTGGGGTGCAGGGTTTCTGTGCCCCAGGAGGTTTGCAGTCGTACCACGGTCTGAATCTGAACCACCAACCCCCGGAGCTGCAATCGCAAAGCCTTGAAGCCTAATAAACGAGAAAGCCCTATAAATCCCTATACCCTAAACCCCTAAACCCTAGGACCCTAAAACCTAAACCCATAAACCCCATGTATACCCCAAACCCCTAAACCCCTAAACCCAGAAACCCTAAACCACAAGCCCCAAAACCCTAAACCCCAAGCCCAGAAACCCGAAGCCCAAACCAGAAACCCCAAACCCTAAACCCTAAACCCAGAAGCCCTAAACCCAGAAACCCTAAACCCAGAAACCCTAAACCTAGAAACCCTAAACCCAGAAACCCGAAACCCTAAACCCAGAAACCCCAAGCCCCAAACCCCAAACCACCTGAAGTTGGAGCCCAAGAGGCTCGAGGAGCGCAGGAAACGGGCTTTCATCGAGCCCAGGAAGGCTGCTGTAAGGGTGTTTTAGGGTTAGGGGTCTAGGGTTAGGGCTTTAAGGGTTTAGGGTTAGGGCTTTAAGGGGCTTTAGGGTTTGGGCTTTAAGGGTTTTAGGGTTAGGGTTAGGGGTTAGGGGTTTGAGGGTTTAGGGTTTCAGGGCATGGTTCAATGGCCTTCAGGTCCTATGGTTCTTGGGGACATGAGGGGGGTTTAGATCTTTCTTTGATGTTCGGGCTTACAAGGGGAATGAACGGTCTAGGGCCTAGGGTTTTAGAGATTCAGGCTGGGGTTCTGGGGTCTCTGGAGGGGTGCTGGGTTGATCTCTCAGGCCCTGTCTGTCGGTTGTGGGAGCTTCACAAACCCTAAACCCTAAGCCCTAAACCCTAAACCCTAAACCCTTCTAGAATCGGCTTCCTCGAAGCAATTTCCGAAGCAGGACCCTTAGCCATCCAATACAAGCCACGCAAAACCCTCAACAAAAGCACTAAGCGAAGCCCTAAGCAACACCCTCAACAACACTAGTCCTTAACACTTCAAACTTGCGAACCCCGAAAGAATCCTCTAGACTAACGGCAAAAGAAAACCCTGAACCCCAAACACAACCCTAAACTGCACAACGCCCCCATGCAAAAACCCAATAACAACCGTAAGCCAAGCCCTAGCTAAGCCCGAAGCCCTACAAATCCCGTGTAGAACCTGAGAAACATGCCCTGACCAACAATCCGATCCACTTCAATGTTGTAACACACTAAACCGTAAACCCTCAACCCTTATAGGCCCCCCAGAACAACACGAAACAACCCCCAAACCCAAAACCCTAAACCCTAAACCCTCAACCCAAAGCCCCAAACCCTAAACCCTCAACCCCTAAACCCTTAAACCCTAAACCCCTGAACCCCAGATCCTAGTCCTAAACGGCCTTGATTTGTTGCCTTAGGGCTACGCCGCTACGCGCTTCGGTTGTTTCGCCTTCCAGGCCCCCTGGACCGCCGACGAGCTCCGCCGATACGACGGCTCCCGGGATGAGGCTTCCAGCGCTTCGTAGGGTTTAGGGGTTTAGGGGTTGAGGGGTTTGGGGGTTTTAGGGTTTTAGGGGTTTAGGGGTTTAGGGGTTGTGGGGTTTTAGGGTGCAGGGTTTAGGGGTTTTAGGGGTTTAGGGGTTAAGAGGTTTGGGGGTTTTAGGGTTTTAGGGGTTAAGGGGTTTGGGGGTTTTACGGTTTTAGGGGTTTAGGGGTTTAGGGTTTTAGGGTTTTAGGGGTTTTAGGGGTTTAGGGGTTAAGGGGTTTGGCGGTTTTAGGGGTTTAGGGGTTGAGGGGTCTAGGGTTTAGGGGTTTAGGGGTTAAGGGGTTTAGGGG